TAGACAGGACAACAATGATGTGACTGGCCAAATCGCAGCCACGAAGGGAGGGCAGGAGGGTTGGCCACACAAGTATCTCAGCAGCGTTTGGGCTGCGCGTTTAATGCTAGGGCACTCTACCTCATCCGGGTCGGAAAGCTTGAATTCCCAGCCATCGCCCGTCCAGCTGATGAAGGATTGACAAGACTTGTCGGTGAGCAGTTCCAGCCGGAATTGCCACAGTTGGATGGGTCCGCTGCCTAGAAATGCAAAGGAGACAGAAGACATTAACGCCAGGAAAGGAATGGCCCCCTCTGGCCCAACCCAGGCTCTCGCAGGGGAAAAAATTCATACGCAAAAAAGACATGCATTCATTAACGCTGAGTTTTGCCGGCAGCTCTGCCACGTCCCTGGTGCAAGAAGGTCTGCCACCCTTTCATCTGCCTTGCGCTGGAAACCTGGGGTTTCAGATTTCCTCCGTGGCTAACCCAAGGGGCTCCATCAGTCAGTCTTTATAAGAACAAATGGTGCTCACTGAAAACAAGACAAAAATAAAAGCCCTTCCACTATCAAAAAAATCATCAGCGGCCAAAGGGCAAGATCTGGGCTGAGATGACAGCTTGAGAGTTAAATCCTGCAGGTAAAAGAGCTTCCTATTTGCAGTAAGAGCTGAATATTCATGCACTGGAATGCTTCGCTCAGAGTTACATAAATAGGATTATTTTTCTGGCATCCAAACAGTGAGGAGTCATTGTTTTGGCACAGGAGCACCACCATTTCCTACGTGCCAAAAAGCTCCTGGCCATCGCATGAACTCCAGCACACTCCTGCTTCCCGACCTTGACTCTTTGCTCCGTGACTGTTTACTGAGATAAAGGGGACCCAGGTATGAAAATTATTTGGCCGCTTTCCAGGGCATGTTGCTGCAGGAACGGACTACATCAGCTCACCGGGATCAGCGGGTTGCCGGAGTGCAGCAAGGCAGGGGCTGGCTAAGTTTGGCAGGCTGACAGCCTCGCGTGCTGGGCGGGAGGGAGGTCTCCTAGCTCAGGACTGGCAGACCTTTCCATCACTCTCTTTAAACGCACCTTCTGGCTGGGGAATCCAGCAAGCCCCAGCTCTCCGGTAGAGCAGTTCCTCCACCCTAAGCGCGCTTTTGCATGACAGAAGAGCTGGCACAGGCCAACCAGTCCTTAGCGGGCCATAAGCAAATTCCCTGCGGCTGCTGGTTCTCTGAATCCAGCCAGAGAGCCAAGAGCCGGTGTGAAGCCTCCCTTGCCACGTACATTCAAGTCATGACCAGCCTCTCTTTACAATGCTGTGGCCTCCATATTTCACACGGGTCAACATTTTGGCCAACAGCAATTTGTCAAGCGTGCTAAGAAACACCTCCAAATGTGCTGCGGTCCAAAGCCTCCCAAGGACACTGATTGCCCTAACCCCACCCAACACAACCCAGGGTCATTCAGAGCCATAGGAGCCAGGCTCTAGCATCAAAACCACCAGCTGAAGAGGTAATTTCAAAACACAACTCCATTGACTTTGTGTCTTGCCTCGAGGTCCGGAGCCCTGCACATTTAAGCACGGCTCATGCACGGTACCCGGAGCACTACCTTGAGGGACTGTGGCTTTGCAGCCTGGTTTTGGCTAGGTTAACGCTCTACACTGAGCGATTTCAAAATACTTATCGCTTCCTTGCACTGGTGTCCCAATCAAAGCTAAAAGAGAAGCCCTCAAGCCAAAACCTCTTTGATGAGCAACTTTCAAATGTGGCCGCGCCCGAAACATTGTGCTCAGCTCTGGGCAACAGCTTTCGGGAAAGGTTTTGACATATTTAAATGGAGCTTAGAAAATATCGGTAATAACAATTGCAACAACAACAATAAAAATAATAATAATCAGAGCCAGAGGTCAGAGGAAATGATTTCCCATGACAAGAACTGTACAGCCTGGATTAGACAGCAGGGGCAAAGCCGCCTGCTGACAGCGATGAGTACGAGCGTCAAGTAGGGAAAAGAGTTATTGACGCAGGAAAAGGGATGGAGAACAGCGTATTTCCATAAATGACAAGGAAGGCTGCCAGATCCGTGGCTGAGGGACAGCCCACGGAGGGAAGAGAGGGGTGTTCCCTCTTTCCCCCACTGTTTAGAAGAAGTCCACGCTGGGCAAGCTGCAGGGAAGCTGGAAATGAGAGCGCTGGCTCAGGCAGAGCCGTGCCGGCCCCGGGAACCCCTGCGCCCCGTCCAGCCCTCCCCGAGCAGCCTAACGCCGGCTACCCCCGAGGAACCGCTCCAGAGCATCTTGGGCCCGGGGTCCTCGGCCAAGCCACGGGACGCAAGCGATCCCTGTCGGTCCGCCGGCCTCTCGCGCCCGCGTCCGCATCGCGTTCGGCACGGCAGAACCCCAACCCCTGACCCGCAACGCCACCGCGCCGCCGGCAAAGTTTAGACCTATTCATCGCAATAGCGAGGAGCTTTAAATGCAGGGAAACCTTGCGGGTGCCGGAGGTAAAAGGCTCCTTCAGCCTCCTGAGGCCTCCAAAAAGGGGTCGTGGGTGCGTTTACACAGGGCACTGATTTCTCCCCGTCCCGTCCGGCTTTACACCCATCCCCTATGGGCAGCAGAGCGGCCAGCGCCCAAGTCAGGCTAACAGAGAAACAGCTCTAGGCCACAAGATTGAAGCAAGACCACAATTGTCACCTCTCATTGATTTCCCTCCTTCCTAGCCAAAAGAACAAGGATTTTTTTTTTTTCCTACTCCCTCCCCAAAGTCAAACGGATGGAAATTTATGGTCTGGGAGCCAGGTTTGGCCCTCAGAACATCCCCAGGCCACCCCAGCTTTGCTGGAGGCTTGCAGGGTTTCAAAGGCTTGCTGAGAAAAGCGTCCTTCACCCCGAGCCAAGTGGCCGGGGCAGTTCAACGCTTTGTGCTCGCGTGCTTGGCTGCCAGCTGGCATGGAGAGGTGTCGGGAAACCCAGCAATTTATCACCCTCTCTTTGAAAAGGTGGCAGGCTGAAGCCACTGCGCGGAGCGCCGTTCGGCCGGGTGTTTCAGGACTTGGGAGGAAGCAGTGTCATTCGGTGGCTTGTGCCTTGGAACAGGGATTCCCGAGGTCTATTCCTAGCCGCCTGTGGGCCTCGCGTAAAACCCCAAATTCCTCCGCGTTGGACAAGTAATTATGTCAAGAATGTGTTTACTGCAGAGCTCATGAGCATGTTTCGGCTCCTATAAACACACACCCTGCTAGCGGGGAAGGCAGCGGAGGCCCTGCAGATGGGCTGCTGCTGGGGCATGACTCCGAAACGTCAGCGAGACAGGCGCTGCACAAGATGGCAGGAACCAACCCCTGCACATGCCCGAGCCTGCGCGCCTGAGAGCACCTCTGCGGAGACCACAGGAGCCGCTCCACCTCTCCGGCGGTTGAAAGAAGCCCAAATGGTTGGGGCAGGGGCACTGGGGGCAAGCGGAGGGGATCCATGCTTGGTCTAGTCTGGCCAGCACAGCTGTGATCAGTGCTGGGAGAGATATCTTCAGCCACGAGTTTCTTTTGCATTGCTTAAAAGAGCGTTTCTCTGCCACCCAAGCCCTCTGCTCGCACAGAGGAGTCCACCCACCTAGTGGTCCTCAGCGTTCACATCGCATCTCCGAAGCTGTGGGGGCAACCACAACGTTTCTGGGCCCGTCTGTGGGCTCTGAACTGCCACCTGGGAGCTGAGCCTGTTTTTCCACCACTTCTGTCTCATCCCTTCCACTCATCCCCGGACCGAGGCTGGAATTCCCCACCGAGGCGCCTGGTCCACATCACATCTCGGTGTAAACACGCGCAGTCCCACCAGCTCCACCAAAGTCAGCGTAGCCAGGCTGCTGTAGGTCAGCCCACGATCTCCTGTCTTTGCTACCTTCAGAAACAACAGCCGCCAGCGTTTTCTTTACCAACGGGGTTAACTCCAACCTCATCTGGAAAAGGCTTCCTTCCTGGTGTCGGTAGCTGCCTTCGAAACGAGACGCCGGCTCTCCCTTCCGTTTCTTCCTACAATCCCCACCAGGTCCTCAGCGGACGGAAGCGAACGGGAGCCCACGGAAAGCCTCTCCCCGCACCCTCCCGGGCTGCAGCGTGACCCTCTCGGGCCACCCCACCACGCCTGGGTATCGGCATTTGCAGCCG